GTTTCTTCTTCGATGAGAAAAAAAATTAAGCTTGAGGATTAATTTCATTTTAGCCAAAGTAATCTATGAAAGTGAAGCAGCAAGGAGTTGGAGCTATTTGATGCAATGAATCAGGGGGCTTCTGTTCTTTTTCTCTATCTGCCACTGAGTCACCTGGAATTCTGTGTCGAAAAATCATACAATAGAGGTAGTCCTGATTTAGCAACTGCAGTCGGGACTGGCAACTCGGCCATTAAGCGATGTGATTGCTTTGTGAAACCATAACTGTGTTCGTCATCTGTTTTTGGCTTTCCTCCACTTTACAGACCTGCAAGGGTGATGCTTCCATCATTGTTGTGACTGCAAAACACCACTGAACGAGGACTCCCCATAATAGCTTCAGGAAACCCCAGTCATCTTCAACACATTTGAGTCTGCTCCATTGTTAAAAATCTCAAGAGTGAAATCTGGCGGTTTAGCAAGATTTAGCAAATGATACCTCTGGTGCAGGAGTTATTTTTGATCTGCAGAACAAGGGCTGTGGGGAAAAACATTGCTGAGGGAGAGGCAAATATTATTGAGAATGATAAGATTTATATAATAAAACAGGGCTTTGGGACTAAATTTTCGAAGGAATGGGGCAGGAATCCTTTTGTCTGGATGGTTTAAGAAACACAGCAAGAGGCCTACTGGGTCAGACCAAAAGAAGAGTTTATGCAATTTCCCACAATTCTTTGCCATTGTTCATGCTGGTTGAGGTTGCTGGGAATTGGTAAAATACTTCGGGGTCTGTTTCCACAATGGCCAGTCTGTAAGAGAAGAGCAGGCAGAGCCTGGGGGGTGGAGTCAAGAGAGGAATCAGCCGAGAATCACTACATTGCCACAAGCAGTCCAATCCCTCTTGAATTCTGTAAACTCTTATCTAGCGCCAGTTTAGTGCTGAACGTTAGTTGACTGGATTCTTATGTGTAGACATGAGCAATATACCAGTTTAAGTGGGGCTTAACATGTGGTCCTGATTCTTCACGCCTGACACAATCAGATACCGTGAGAAATCCACACGCATCGGGAAGAAACACAATATCCAGCAGACTCTCTTCTTTGTTGACTATTATTCAGACCCAGACTCAATTTTTGAAGAGTTTTTCCAGCTTCTTATGGTAGGGTTAAGGTCAGGGCTACAGTGCCCCAAATCTTTCATATGCCTTCCCCAATTTTATGCAACTTTTATCCATACTCTGCATCCCAAATAGCACATCCACGTAACATCCAGGCAATTCCATTGAATATACTGCTTTAATATTTCCCACTTTTAAAATTCAGGCTATGATTTAACTCAGAGCCTTTATTGGCTGCCATCCCATGGATAGAAATGGGTCCTGGTGCTTCTTTTTTTGTTAATTAACATTTAGAATGTTTTTTTTTCCCAAGCGAGTTTGTGCATGTTGATGAACCACAATATAACTCGATTATTTTCAGGGCCAATCACCTATTTTTAACAGGCCATCTTGTTGCCTGGCTCACCAAAAATGAAATCTGTGACATCTAGACATCAGGAGAAAATACATATATATATATATCAGCCTATCAAGTTCAAATCACAGCTCTATAAGTAGGAGGCCTCAATCCATTTTTAATCCTGTCAACCAGAGATGTGCTCAATGAGAAACATGTGATTTTTTTACAACATTTTTTCTGCATATATTTATCATACCTACATATTTATTTAGTATAATTAAATCCACAGAGGCATAATCCATATGTAGAAGTGCAGCACAATGAGAAAATTGTTAGCCCAGGGGTGAATCTCATGAACTGGTAGAGCAGTCAACATGGACAATGCCCTATTGTTAGAAAGCTTGCATGAGGATTAAGGAATAAATTAATCGCTAAAGACATTTGATGAAAGAACTGTTTATTATAGATGCCAGGCCTCTTCACGCCCTGAAATGAAGACCCAGGGCAAAGTGATACCCTTATATTAAAAATTAATTACCATACGACCAAACCAAGGGTGTAATTTTATTCCTTTCATATCATCAGCAAGACAATAGATTCTTTTTTTTTGCAATGCTTGGGAGATTATTTATCTCCATTAAATAATGGGCTATATCATCTATGGATTTCTCAGAACCAGTGGCTGGACAGACTTTTAAAACTTTCCTCCATCATGTTTTGCATTTTTTCAAAAGCCTGCACCAGAAGGGGAGGAAAAAAAACAAGACATCTAAATGAGAAAAAAAAGCATGCGTCTCCTAACATTGTGAATTGTGGCAGAGAATATTTACTTTATTAATAATCTGCCAGATGTCACTCTTTCCTTACAGCAAAGCCTGAAATGGCACCACCAATTAGCAGAGTAGCAAAACCCAACCTGGTGCCAAAAAAGATTATTGATGAGTATCATTTTCAAACTTGCCTCTTAGTCATTTGCTCAAGTTAGACTCTTGGTGTTTTTTTAATAAACTTTTTGAAGAGTTCATTAAACTCTTGTATGGCTAACAGCTTGAAAAGTAATTCACTTTGCTTATAAAAGAGATCAAAACGACCACTGATCTTCAGGTCATTGTCGATCCAATTCAAAATGGTTTAGTAATGGTTCTTGATTTTCTATCCTTTGATTCTCAATTAACAAAAAAGAAAGCGAAAGAAACTTGAAGATGCTCGGTTTTAAGATCTTGAGAATGTGGGGGAGAGAGTACTCCAGTTGTAGTAGTGAGTCATCGATTCACTTGGATGATTTTGGCATCCTTGTCAGGCACAAGCGGCCAGACCCACACATGTAAAGTTTCGTCTAACTACTTCATTGATCTCTGCCTATAATACAGGAATCTCTCCAGACTTCACCTGAGAAAGACCAGATAAAGTTCAAAGCCTTTTGGGGGAAGAGGGTGTCAAATCTTTTCCTCCTGTGTTTACATGAATCTAGGCTTGAGTTATCATCCCAGGTGGGACAGTTGCCCCCTCCCTTCTTTCTAATGAGCTTCAGTTGGCTTTGGGAGAAAAAAAGACTTCCAAAGCAGTAAAATACCGTATGTCTCTCTTGACTGTCATTTGTTACTTTTATGATCTTGATATTTAAACATTCTTCCTGCTGCCATTTTTCATGGTGGAGAAATTTAACTTACTTTAAATTACAGCGTTTATTGCGGATCAGCCCCAGCATCTGGCGTGCCAAAAGCTTGTTTCGTAAATCAATTAAATTGAGGACATTAATAAGCAAAACGTTGAGACCTAGTATGGTCAGTATAATAGGGCCATCCCTGAAATTAAATGGGGGTGAGGGTGGTGAGTGGGGTCAGATTGGGGCCAGGTGGAAGGAATTATTTCTTTGCCCAGCACATAATTCAAGGATGGGAACGACGGTCCTCCAAAGGCAGTCACAGTTAGCAATTTGGTATGGCTTGAAAAAGGGGTTGAATCAGGTAAGATGCCCCTTGGGGTGAGATCTGGCGTTCTGTAGTGCCCTTAAAACCTGGCTCAGCCTGGCTCCCCAATGTGGGCATGTCACACTGGAAGTGGTTAATGCATTGAGAGAAGACTCCACCTCCACCCACGGGCATCTTGCTCCCTTCCTTGGCCATCTTTGCTACTTTAAATGTTAACTTCAATATTCTTGTTGTTTTCGCTTTGCTGCAAGCTGCCCAGAATCACCTCTAGGTGAGATGGACAGCATATCAGTTTCATAATAAATAAAAATAAATAAAACCTGGCTCTCTACCTTGGATGGAGAATAGTCCTGGAACAACATTTAATTCAGGCCCTTGGCCTCTCCGACTTCTCTGAATACCGGCATTTCTGACATTAAAGCATCATCAAAACTGTTGGAATCAAGATTCTAACCTCTTTAGGGACCCTAACACAGTGTAGCAGAAGAAGTGGGAGAAACCGAGGGTAGAATGAAAAGAGGAATCAGCCTAGAATCGCTAGGTAGCCACAAGCAACCTTCCTTGAATTCTGTGCGCCCTTATCTTAACTGCTAGCAGATGCTGACCCTCAGTTGAGAAGATCCCTGTGTGTGGTGTGGACTTGATGTTTCATACCTCACACAAATACACACACACACACACACACAGAGAGAGAGAGAGAGAGAGAGAGAGAGAGAGAGAGAGAGAGAGAGAGAGAGAGAGAGAGAGAGAGAGAGAGAATGCTAGATTTCCTGTTCTTCTTTTAGTCATTAACTTTTCAGCCACCTTTGTGAATTCTGCAACTCTTAGGAAACTTCCTTTACTAAGGCCCCACAGCATGCATTGCCCCCTATGGAGTACTGTAAATGCTTTATTCCTATGGCCATAAGCCGGCTGTTCTCCAATGTTAATTAAGATCAGAAAATGAGCTGCAGAGTGCCTTAGTGGTTATGTAATACAGACCATTAAAGCCTGCTTTATAAATGAGTGTCATTAAATTCTAAGTATAGCGGCTTTTCTTGGGTAGCCAGGAAAAAAAGAAAAAAGAAAGAAAGTTGAGAGGTTACACGTCAGAATTTATGCAAAAATTTTAAAACAACTTAGCAAGGCGCGGGGTAAAGCAATTACCAAGGCTATTTTACCAGGTGTAGCAAGCAAGCTGGAGCAAAAAGCTTTACAGTAATAGATTTCCAGATCTGGCCTCTTAGCCTGTGACTTCTGGTGAGATAACACAAGCAGAGGAGATAGAAAAAATTTTGTACAAATTCTCCCCTCCAAGCTCTTTCTATTGTTTTATGAGATGGGTTCTTATATGACACCATTATCAGGGTTGGGATTTATATATATATATATATATATATATATCTACTTGCAATCACTGGAGCAAAACAATCATTTCAGGCCACGAAATATTAGTGCCTCTTGCCAAGCAGTCCAATTATACAGTAGAAACCATGCCTTCCGGACAGAAAATATTTCTTCCTTTCTCCTTATATTGGAATGAGCCTCCAAAGCAGGGCTGTCTAACCCTGGCAGCTCTTACACTTGTGGACTAAATAAATGAATAAACAGCTTCTCTTTTTGTGCTCTGTTTGTCAAAATGACGGTACTCACTTGTCACGTTCAGGCAAATCAACGGACTCGTCTTGTTCTCGCCATTCTTCTCATTGACCGCCTGGACGTAGTAGTTCCCAGCATCAGTTGGCAACGTTGCGAGAATGACCAACTGGTTCTCTAGGGTGATGGTTCTGCATCGAGGGGGAAAAATAAGAGCCTGTTACTCACTTAGGACAAGGCAACATTCGGGCTGGGTATGCTGCAAAACGGGAGTAGTGCATCTCAACGGGAAGATGTTTATATGGCACTCAGAAGAAAACTTTTAAAGAATGATGGTATATCCATGGGTGAAAATCAGAATGTAAGTTCTCGGTGACAGGAAATCTGGGATCCTGGAAGCCTGGTTTCCAGGGATGGCAGCAGTATCATTTCGCTTACAGGGATGACAGCCAGGCATAAAGGTTCACACCAATTAGTCATTCACAAATATTGATATGAAAAACTACTACAAAAGGGTGCTTGTTTTTTTTAAAACAAAGCTTTCCAAATCTCTGGGCTAAAAGAAAGAACTCTTTGGGGGTGGGGAAAATAATGCCAGGGGGAAAAAAATCAAAGGCAAGAGACTCTCAAGATGCTTCCCTTCTGTTTTTAGGATGTGTTTAGCTCTCTTGGTTTCAGATACCAAGAGGTGATGCAAGTTGTTAATTAACATGCTCAGCTGGGAAGACATGGAGGGAATAAAAAGTAAAGATGTTTACAAGTGACAGCTATAATTGTAGCTATAGTCATTGGGGTTCGTAGCTTCTCAAAGAGTGATGAAATATCAGAGTCAAATGCACAATTTTCTCTTTTTGTAACAAAAGGCTATGGGTATTTTCCTTGTAAAACGTCTCCAACTATTTCTGTTCTAGATACCACTCTCATTTCTTACCCAATCCATTTTTAAATTGAACATGAAACCCATCAATGAAGAAAAACAAACTTATGGAAGCTTTGAACTGTGGGGTCCTTGGTGCTCTCTGAGCTTGGCTGTTTTCTTGCAGATGTTTCATGACCCAACTAGGGAACATCATCAGTGCTAGGAGGGAGGGGGGCTTGGCCTGTGAGCAAACGTCTAGCACTGATTATGTTACCCATTCGGGTAATGAAATGTCTGCAAGCAAACAAGAGCTCAGACAGCACCAAGGACCCCGCAGCCCCCCACCACTCCACAAATCCCATTCCCTTCTACCATTGATGATGCTACCAAGTTGGGTCATGAAACATCTGCAAGAAAACTACCAATCTCAGAGAGCACCAAGGACCCCACAAAACCAATCCTTGGGTGATGCCCATTTCATATTTTAAAGCAAAAAGGACAAAATGGCTCAGAATTCTACATGGGTCTTTGAAGTCTGAGCAAGTTCCAGCAGTCCTAACCCAAGACTCAATATGTGGAGATACAGAAACTGAGTATGAGATGTAAGGTCAAGAATTGATGTGAAAATACTAAATAAGAAATGACAGCAGGAGATGAATCCACTAATGGCACACTAAGCAACACTACTGCAACAAGGAGAGTGAACAACCAATGGAACAGCTTGCCTCCAGAAGTTGTGGGTGCTCCATCACTGGAGGCTTTCAAAAAAAAAAAAACCTGGACAATCACTTGTCTGAAATGGTATAGGGTCTCCTGTTCAAGCAGGGGGTTGGATTAGAAGACCTCCAAGGTTCCTTCCAACTCTATTATTCTATGTTCAATGTTCTACTTGCAGAGAGGAGTGTGAGAGAGTGAGTTTTCAAAGAGAGTCAAGCCATTGCATTTACCGGGACGGCCAACCCGATTTGAATCAATTAATCCCATTACTTGTAGTCCATCAGCTAATTGATCGAGTCATTAAAGTGGTATACGGATAAATCAGTAAGAAGGATTTCTGTTTAGTTGAAGACTTCCATTTATCCTAGTAGATGATATGAGTTTATGGTGCAGTTCTGATCTCATTGTTTTGTAACTGTCACATGCTATCGTAAACAGATCCATCACTCTGGAGCAAGAAGCTAATTGCTTCATGCTTTTATGATACGGCCATCTGAAAGAGGGCAAAGCCTTGGAAAAGACTGTCTTCTTAGATTTGGGTGAAGGTTGGAAAGAGGGCAATGTTCTTGAGCCAAGCCACAACCAGGATGCAAACTGACCATCAGTCACAACTAAAGGACAAAGCAGAAGGCAGACAGGACTTTGGGCCACAAAGCGCAGGCCCAGTTTGTTGATTAAACTAAGACAAAAGGTAAATAAAAGGAACATTGAATGACAACTTGTGAACCCCTTTTTAAAGTTGTTTGGTACAGAAACTAAGACGTGAAACTGCAAATTAAAAAGCCACTCACTGAGACAGAACATGTTTAAAAATAGGTACTTGTGTGCCTATATTTAAGGATTACTAAAGAGGAATCTTAAAATAATGTCCTTCTTAGACTTCAATAGCTTCGTTAATCTGCATAGGAGATGCATTCTTTTCTCCAAAGAGTACTAGGTTATTACTGGGGTTTTTTCCCATAAATAATTTGTGTAAACTTATGTGGCTGGGGAATGATGTCAAGGATGAAAAATCAGAAGTACTTCCCAAAGGTGTACCCAGAATAGATTGCATTTGTTGCGTTACAACGAGATTTCCTTGGAAATACAAGCTGCCTTTCACCAAGGGCAACATTATTATTTTGTTGGGAAATGCCATAACATTCAAATAATTTCTGGTGGAACCTGTGTTTTCCACCCAAAGGGATCAAGGCCGGTCTTTAACAGGTTAGGATTAAGAGTTTTGCAGTAAATGAATGTATTTAGAAACGAAAATATGAAAAAAAATAAGACCATGCACAAGCGTGCCCCTGACTTGACTCTTGAGGAAAACAAGTGGAAGGCAACGTCAGCCTCTGTGAATTATTGGAAATGACCCCTGGAATGAAGCTAAGAGGGAAAGGAAAAACTACTTTATTGCCACCAGTCACCGCATTGTGTTTGCTTCCTGCCAGATGGTACCCTTAGTCTCACATACACGATTAAAATAGTGTCAGAAACTCGGTCCGAGATAATAATGTCTTTTGCATCCTCTTTAACATTAGAACTGTGATTAAACACAGCAGGAAAACCGAAGGCAAAGGGCACACCTGTCCTCCTAAAACAAGCAATTCAGTCTAGCAAGGAGAGTGAAAAACACAAGGCAAAATATTCATGGCTTGCATCCAAGGATGCTGGGTCAGACGTACTACAGACCCTGGTGCGCATTCCCTTTTTAGCAGTGTTTTCAAGAGTTTATTCTGCAGCGTATGATATTTGTGAAAGTGCCAAACCGCTGATTTTTTTCAGGATTGTCTATTTGGAATATCAACTTGCTCTCTCAAGCAGTTCCCTCATATCCCTCATGGTGACCTGTTCTCCAATCCACCGGAGGGCAGCACAAGGAGTAACGGATCAAGGACCACATCCAACCTAGAACTAAGAACAACTTTCCTGACAGCGAGAGCAATTCATCCGTGGAATGGCTTGCCTTTGGAAGTTGTGGGTGCTCCATCACTGGTGGGTTTCAAGAAGAGAACTGGACAATCATTTGTCCTGAATGGTATAGGGCAGAGGTCCTCAACCTTGTCAACTTTAAGACTTGTGGACTTCAACTCCCAGAATTGGCTGAGGAATTCTGGGAGTTGAAGTCCACAAGTCTTAGAGTTGACAAGGTTGAGGACCCCTGGTATAGGGTCTACTGCTTGGAGTAGAAGACCTCCACGGTTCCTTCCAACCACATTATTCTATGTTCTAAAATTCAGGAAGAAATAGCATGGGTCAGAATATTTGAGGAACCACCTCTTTCTGATTACCTCTGCCCATCTTTTCTGTTCTGGGCCCTGCCCGCTAAGGAACTATATCTAAGTGAGTCCCAGAGATGGGTCTTTTCTGTTGTGGCGCCCTCCATGTAGAATATCATCCCCTCCATCACCACGCCAAGTAAGACTGGTCCCATCCTTGAGGTCCTTCTGGAAGTCTTTCAAAAATTGGTTAGGTCAACCAGCCTGCGGAGGGGATGGGGAGGGAGAGAGTCCTCATGGAAATGGGGATTTAATGTGCTGGCTATATTATTCTGTGCCACATCTTATATACATTCCCTTAGTCCAAGGGTAGGCAACCTTGGCTCTTTTATGACTCGTGGACTTCAACTCCCAGAATTCCTGAGCCTGAGCTTGCCTTAGTCCTTCAACTTTTATAATAATAATATGAATGTTTTAACTGTAGAGGTTTTTGTGTAATTATACTTTTTTATGGCACATCACTCAGCGTTACGTTTTGAGAAATGGAGGGAGGAGATATAAATGTGATCAATAAATAAATAAATGGCATCTGCAAATGGAGCTATTTAAAATGACAAGTGGCCCTCCAAATAGCCACAGAGGCTTGATTCTTGACTCATGAGAGCATAACCAAGGGCATAAAGAAAAATGCACTTTTTTTGTATGTCCATAAAGTCATACTCTCCTCCCCCAGGGCTAAAACCACAGACAGGTGAGATAACCAAGGTCCAGGCTCTGTTTAGGAACCTTGGAAATTGCAAAGACTCTAGAGATAATGAAGGTCTCCTGCCTATTTTTTCCTAAACTCTGCAGGGCATATCAACCTGGGGAACAAAATCAACATTCAGATTAATGATTGGCTTATTAGTGTTTCTGTATTCAAGATATTCTGATGGAACCAGAATTCTGTCACCGGTAGGGTAATTGTAGCTTTCACTTACATATAACCCTGAAACTCTCCGAAATCCCCCCAGACCAGATGCCAATTTAGAGAGGAAAAATCTCAGGAAATAATCCTAAGTATTTGTTTGTGATTGGCTTTTTTACAAGACGCATCAAATGAGGCATGCTTAAAAGACTGGCTTGCTCACTTTCTGCTGAGATTTAGAGTTTTTATAGGAGGGATTAAGAGTTGAAAAAAGTTTCTAACTCTTACTCCCCCCCCCCCCAGTCCTAGGGGAAGACAAGCATTCTGATTTGCTAATATTTTTTTTTCTTTCCTAATAGAAGAGAGAATTAGATGTTTGCTACTTCTAGTAGCTACACTGCCTGATAAATCAGATCATGCCAAGTTGTTGAATCATAACAGAATAAAATCCAAACCATAACAGAATCTCATTTAGTCTCTGCTTATAACATAGCCATCTGTTCAGGA